AGAAGAGGGATTTCTCCTCTTCGGTCGGAGTAGCGAGTGGTCTATAATATACGAGCGGGGTAGGCACGATTCCCTGCCGATACCCTGCCGATATATTAGTACTACGTACCCGAGTGCTTTATTAGCCCGTACCTCCTAGTAGCGCTCTTACACCGCTTCGTTCGTTGCTATAGGTACTTAATATTAGATAGTGCTCTTACTATACCTTATAACGCTTCTATAGACCTAGTTATACTTATATATTAATATATTCTTCGTAGTCTACCCTGCTACCTAATCTAGACACGGCTAAAGGCGTTAAAGTAGTAGGCCGCCTATGGGAGCCTCCGCGTCTACGTTTCGATAGAGACTCTATTTCCTTATTATTAGAGATGGTCTCCTATTCTAACCGCCGCCTCCGTATACTAGGCTGCCTCCTACGGCCGGCTTGCCGCACGCTAGTCTACTTGCCCGGTCTAAGAGCGTCTGTCTTACTTTTAGACCTTATCCTTATATTAGTCTTACGACTCTTACTAGCTGCTATCTAACCCCCTAGGGACTCGCGTAGTCTATTAACCGCTATGCTCTTAGGGATAGGCTATATAGCATTTTTCGGACGTCCTCGAAGGCTTATTGCGATCTTAGGGTCGAGAATTCGGCGGTAGGGGTTATAAGAAGTAGACTGCCTTAAGTGCTACCGAGGGTAGACGTCCTACTTTATTAAGAATGCCCCTACTTTTAATTTTCTATAGATTATATAACGATAAGGAATTCCTAACTACTAAGAGATATTATAGCCCTCCTTATAATTCCCTATAGGTTCTAGCTAAGGACGGGATCTACTTAGTATCGATTTTAAAGCGTAGCGATATTTATTAGCTAGTAGGTCGAGTCCTAACTAAGATATTATTATACGAAGCTCGCCTAGGTACTTTAACCTAGGCTTAGAGTATTTCCGTGCGGTTAGTACTTTATCTTATAAGTAGTTATCGATAAAGTCTTACTCCTAGTTAATAAGTATACCCTCGAGCGCCTTAATAAGTCTATATAAATAGCTCGTTCCGTTAAGTAGATAGCTTTTAACGTTGTTATTGCTAGCCTTAGTGCCGGAAGTTACCTAAACCCCGAAATTACGGTATTTTTTAATAGAGTAATATGCCTACTACGCGCTTACGGGCAAATAGGTCTTATTATATTTAGGATACGTATAATAAAATACGCGGTTAATAAGCGATATTATCGAACGTTATAGATAATATTATAAAAGCATCCTAGGTAGTAAGTAGTAAATTCGCTACTATAAGGCAGTTATATTTCCTTAGGATTATAAGGAGATAGAACTTCTTATATTTATTTTAGATAGACGATAATAAATAAGATTAACTCTAACCTTCTATTTTTTATCTCTATAAGAGGTCTTATAAAGATATATTAAAATAGCCTACTAGTTATTAAACTCTTTATATAGGCGCACCTATGCCTTCTTATAATCCTCCTTAGTCTACGCGAAGGCTACGTACTTCTATATCTTAAGGACGCCCCGGTAGTTATAGGGCATAGGCGCGGTACGGTCGTTTTATAAGGACGGGCCGCCGTGTCCCCCTCCTAAGAGGACGGCTTCGATATCCCCCGAAGTTAATACTATCTACGTCTATCTATTACTAGAGCTATTATCGTCGCTATCGTTATCTTTCTTTACGTCCTTCTATTTCCGTTTAGTATTAAGAAAAACGTTAGAGTTAATATAGTAGATATATATTTACTATTAGCTATCGGGGAACTAGTTATCTAGGGCTACCTTTATCTGCTAATCGTAATCTATAATAACTACTTCTAGGAGCGGAATATTATACTTCTTATTTAATTGCCTAATCCCCTCCGTAAGGAATTAAAACCCTTTACGTTTCTCGTTATTAATTAAACCGAATACGGCATTATAGATAGACTTAAGGTAAGTCTGCCCTATAACCTAGAAGAGCGGTAGTTTAAAGCGATTTATATTATACGTATTATCGAAGCTTATTATTTCTAGAAAGCGTTTCTATATTTAAAGATAGTATAGGAATATCTATATAAGGCTAATAAAGCGATTAAGCTCTATTACCGACCACCTAACGATATATAGAATGCCCCTCTCGTTAAAGAGCTTAATTAAGGCGGCTATCGAGCTTAAATCGCTAAGCTTCTCGCGGCGTAAGAGAGCCCTAGCGTTATATATATCCTTCCTCGTATAGAGCGTATTAGGGTGTTTTTCTTTAATAATACTACGTATATCGCGCGCCCTTATCCCGACCCGCCGGCTTATCGCTTTAACTATTGCCTTTATAGAAGCAGTTAGCCTCCGATAGACGGGATAGGCTAAGAGACTTATACTATAGTTATAGTTATATTAGCTATACTAAGGATCGGCAAATGCCTATAGAGTCTATATATAGTCGTTCTATTTTAGGGCCTCTATAATAACTTTCTACTTATAGCTATAATTATAGGAGCGTTTTTAGCGAAGACCCGAGCCCTTAGATAGGCGAGGCTCACCGTACCGGTCGCACTAAAATATATATCTCGTCGTTTATACACGACTACCTAAGCCGTTGCGTCTAATAACGCTAAATCCGTTTTCCTTTACGAACTCGTTTACTTAGCGTTAAAGTTCCTTAATCGATAAAGCTATAGTGCCGGGGATTAGCGGGTTAGGGATAGGCATAGTTACACCTTAGTTACTAGACCCCGTATTAGAGAAACCGCTCTATTCTTCGTATTCTTCTTAGTCTTAGCTTAGCGATAGTAATAGTGCTAGTAGTAAGGGTAACGGCGATAAGACTAGGATATCTAAAGCAACCCGCTATAGACTAGATATTTAGTAATATTTAGCTAACTCGAGAGCTAGTAGAGTATCGAACTCTACTTGCCGCCGGGCGAAGTCTAGGGCAGACTAAAAGCGGGTTATAGTTCCTATAGAGCCGTTTCTATCCTCTAACATTAATTGCTCTCGAAGGCGCTATCTCTTAAGCTTATCTAGGTCTAGAATCGCTAAGGTAAATAATCGCTAAGTACTATAGCCGCGGAAGCAGTTATCTAAGAAGATTCTTAACTATCGTAATTCCTAATAGGGTTCGTCGATACCGCGGTTACTATATAGTCTTAGGAGACTGCTAAAGAAGTTCTCTAGCTATATTATAAAAAGGTTATATAGAGCGTTATTATTACTATCGCCGTAGTAAAGCTCCGGATTAAATAGAGGACGGGACGCTTATTTATACTACCTCCTTAGATAGTAGCCGAAAGGGCTAGTTTCGCTGCTTTTAGAGCCGCTTAAATAGACCAGGGTCTCCTATACTTTTATAGTAGGGTAATTAACGCTTTAATTATTTATAGAAGACTAAAAGGCTTCTCCGTATATAAATAGCTATATCGACGAAAGATAGTTATAGAAGGTTAGTATATATATATCGCGAAGATAGTATAGGCAAAGAATAGTGTATTTTAACGTATTGTTCGCCGTGCTTTAGTATAAAAAAAGATTCTTTATTTATATATTAATATACTCCGATTTCTCTCGGCCCTTCCTCCGCAATATCTCGGATATCTATCTTCTATCTAATTACCTGCTTCCTAGATACCTTTTTCCGTTATAACCTCTATCCTTTATATGGCCTAGATACCTAGATCATAAAACTACTTCGCGACATTATACGAATCTTCTGGTCATGATAAGTGGCCGAAGTGTAAGACCGGTACGGCTGGCAGGATGGCGGTGTCGGTTGGGTGGGTCTGACGCCAGGTTTGGAAGTCACCAGCCACACGGCCCCCGTAACGCGGCCCCCGTAGCAAAGTGGTTCGGCCCGCATAGTCATTGCCTTGATAATTTCGACCGCAAGGTTGTTATTGTCTTGCACATTAATAACCCAACTAAGCGGCACAGCGCACTCCATGTCGTCTTAATGCCAAGGATTATTAAACCAGGCTTAGATAGGCAAATGATAAGTGGAGAGCCTGCAATTGATTGGCCCATATTAAATAACATCCGCCGGTACGAGGTACCCCCCAGAAGCAAGAAGTCTCCTCCTGCGCAACCCATTCTTCTCTGACAAGGCGAGACAAATCAGAGCACTTCGTACCTGCTAAATTGTTAGGCATTGAAGACCGCAGAAAACGAACTTGTCCTCGATGTTGACTTGAAGATTCGGCAGTTCATCACTTCATTTCATCAGCCATCGCTTACCACCCGTCATGGCCACAACAACAAATGCCGAGAAAGGCATTGCCGGCCGCATTCGGCGCGCTTCGCTTTCTGTCATAAATGCGAACACCCAACTAGGAATGTGGCAAGCTGCCGGCACCGCAATTGCACAGGCCCCAACTCTCACTGAGCTTCGTGACATCGAACTCGGTGGCAACAACATCATCTTCAACGCCCAAGGCCACTCGGCACGCCTTGCTGCTGTTCACGAGGGTACCGGTAGGTTGGTGCTCGTGGAAATGAATGCTACTTGGTCAAACCCCAGCGGCCTTCGTTCTGAGAAGACGCCTGCGGTGGATGGCCAATACATACGGCAAATTGGTGAGACTGGTGCAGATATCGCTCTAGCAGCTGAGAATCGGAACAAACATGGCCAGGAAAAACACCACGGCCTATTCCGGGGACACCACGACGGCCACGAGAAGGCAAAATGGGTCGCGACCAGTTTGCATAGCTTAAAAGCCTTTTGGAAATTTTTCCTCACGCCATCAGGATTTCTCATTACCATTGGTTTTCTCAATGTTGTTGTTCGTCATCCCCTATCATCGCCGCCTTATGGGAAGGGGTGACGTGGACTCTAGAGTTGCTAACATGACGTTGCAGGCATGGGGAGTAAGTCCTCCAAATCACTGGGTTAAAATCCCCGAGTTGCAGTCTTGCAGCTCATTAATATCCCTGTTATGATAGCAATAATCCAGACATCCCTTCCCTGAATGCTAACAATATCTTGGTGTCTGCCTAGGCGATGCTCTTTTTCCTTCTCCTCAAAGCCGCCCCGGCAATGAACCATCCGAGTGCCGATGACGACGACTCCCCTCGGAAAATGTGGATTGAAATTGACAGTCAGATTCTCAATGCTCTGTTCTGCGTCACCGCGTTTGGACTCGCCCCTTTGCGCTTCCGCGATTTGTACTGGTTCGTGCGAGCCGTTCACTTCAAAGACGAGACGGCTATGCGGAAGCTGGCCAACCAGACCAAGTCCTGGTTTCGGCCGCCGCTATGGGCTAGACAGAACGACGAGGCGACAACAGTCAAAACGACGTTTACGGGCCAAGTCGCACCGCCGACGCCCGTCTGGAAGCTGGGCTTTACCATCTGGATGATGGTTTTGAATACCTTGCTGCAGGCCGTCTTGTGTTTTTATATGTGGCACTATGACCGTATTGATCGACCAGTAAGTGAATGGCAACAGCTTTCTTCTCATTCCATTTGTTCTTATTAGTCATTGGCCGTGACAGCTGACCGCTGCGATTTAGTCATGGGCAACGGGGACTTTCATCGCCTTGGGCTGTGGCGTGGCTATGTTGGCTGGTCTTATGTCATGGTGGGAAGGACGCAAGGTTAAAAATATTGAAGGCCCGGAGGTTACCGTAGTCTAAGAATAAGACTACTTGTCGAGACATGATTATGCCCTGGTGTGTAAGCCAACATGACGCCAATTCAAGTAGCTTCTTCCACGGCCCTCAAGGCACGGCAAGAGGCAGTAGCGGCGGCGTTAATTATTGAGATACTTCGTAACCCCATAATACCACCTCTTTGCAGTACCTCTTAGAAGCACGGCTACCGTCATATAGGACATGTGTCAAGATCGGAACGCTCATTCACTGTGCTGCCTAACAGGCAGCAAGCAGTTCGTAATGCCATATTAGTGATGGATTCGAACCTTCTAGGTGACGTCGTCATCTATGCTGCCTGGGTGGCAACATCGCCACTCAGCCCAAAATCACAAGAATCGAAGCCAACTTTTCACCATCACTTAGATAGAGAATTAAGAGTCTTTCGTTGCCCGATTCACAGGGGATCTCCTTCCCGATCGTTGCTCAGTCATCCATACTGTCCGTGCCTCTTGTTGTGTGACAGGGCGTCTGCGAGGAGCAGAGTGGCAGGGCGGATCCCGGTCTCTCGGTGGAGGGCCATAATAGGCATGGTACACTAGACGGGCGCGATAGCGCGCATCGCGACGTTTAAGGTTAGCTGGATCCTATTCTCTGGATCCTATTCTTTAGGTAGGTAATCCTCGGCGGAACTAGGCGGGCAGTCCCCCACATAGGCCGGAGCGCCCCCCGGTGCTATATATTGGCGCCGTATAAAAGGCTCGGGAGGACGTAGGCCGTGATCGCATATCGTGTCCACCGAGGAGGGATTCTACGCCGGGTATTTAAGAGGTTCTGGAGGAACCCTGCGGCCTTCCTCGCCTTCGCGGCCCACTTCTCTATATATGTGCGGAATAAGAGCTTTCTGTCGTACTAGACGCCGAGCTAGCGCAGGTCCTGCTATGGCTCCTTTTCCACGGGCCTGTGCCAGACCGACGGCAGGCCCCCCTTATATCTCGGTCTCGTAAAGTGGATAAATTCTATCTTACCTAGGTTAAACACTACCCCGTTATCGGCTCCCCTCTAGATCAGCTCGCCCGCGGCGCGCGTGGCCCGGGCGGCCGTCTCCTATTAGGACCGGCCCCTAGTCAGGGTTGCCACGTTATCTGCGTAGCCGAAACGCGAGTTCGGTTCCCCTATAGAGTAGATGGGCGCTATATAGAGGAGGAAGAGAATCGGGGAGGCCGGGGAGCCCTATAGCAGCTCGTATATTAGGGGGGTTGTCGGCGTCGTTATATCCTTGAGCTGTATTCTGGCCGACCACTGCTCTATAAAGCAGTCTGCCCACCGGACCAGGTTAGTTGGCCAGCCCTGTTCCCGGTTTCGCAGAACCGTGTCAAAGGCGCCCTATATATCCATCGTAACTAGCGTGGCGACTTTCCCCTTAGTGAGGGCCGTCTCCGCGTCGTGGAGCAATACTAGCGCTAGGTCAAGCGCTGAACGTTTGGGCAGGGCGCCCGCATGCTGGATATGGATGACCCTTTGAGTGATCGCAGCCTAGGCCAGGCGGCGGGCTATTGGGCGTTCGAGTCCCTTGCCGAGGCAAGCTAGGAGGGAGATCGGCCTCCAGCCTCTCGGAAGAGACAGGTTCCTCTTGCTAGGCTTAGGGATTATTATGACCTCTGCTGCGCGGAAGCAGGCGGAGTGGTAGCCCAGGTGTAGGCAGCCTTCGTATAGTCCTCTCACCTCGCCGATATGGTTCCAGACGCAAAGTAGCATTCGGACCGTGATGCCGTCGATCCCCGGGGAGGTGTTGCCCGTAGAGGTGCAGGCGCACGCCGCATCCGCGAGCGTGACGCTGCAGTCGAGGGTCCTCCTGGGGCCAGCACCTCTGGGGCCCAGGGGTCCGGGATGTCGTCCGAGGCCCCGCGCCTTTCTAGGATCTTGACTCGGAGCGCGTTTGCCTTTTCCGTCTAGGTCTCGAAGACCTGGTCGCCTACCTCTATAGGTGGGACCCGGAACGGGCTCGGTTTCCTCGACCACCGCATGATCTTATAGACATCCTAGCTGCTCTCGGCGCCTTCTAGAACAGTCTGCCAGAAACGTCTCTTAGCCCGCCGTACCGCCCGGCGCAGCTCCCACCGGGCAGTCTGTTACCTTTAGGTGGTAGTAGTAGTAGTAATAGTATTGATTACCGTCTGGGACTACCTTTTTTAGTTGTATTACGCCCGGAGGGTTCCCCCATAGGGCCATCTAGGACTACCTTTATTATTATTATTATTATTATTATTTTGTATTGCGCCCGGAGGGTTCCCCCATAGAGCCACTACGCTAAGCTACGTACCTACTATACATGGTTCCATCGCACCTAAAGCCCCACGCTTCTTTTCATCTCCCTCCGCCGATGGCTCTGCTAAGACCACCTGCCCCTACCCCTGCCCCTACTACCCCTATCACGCTCTAATTACTAGTAGCAATAGCTCTAAAGATAGAGGATATAGTAATAGGGAGGATGATTAAGGGGACTAGGCGGAAGAGACCTTTTTTCTTTTTTTTTTAAAATAAGAGGTAGTTATTACGGCTCTAAAGGTCCCTCTATTATTGTGCCTTCTATTATATATATGGGTCACGTAACCTACTCCTTATACGGGCGGTGTGTTTTAATTAGCCTAAAAGTTTTACCCCTAGGTCCGCTGCGCTACTAGTTGGCTAGTTAGTTATATAACCTACTAGGCACGGCAGGCTCCTATAAAGAGGGATCCTAATAACCACCTGCTAGAACCTACGGAAGCATCCTTATAGATAATAATATAGGTATACTAGTCTCGCAATAAGTTAAGTATTATATACGAAATTAATCGCTTCTTATATAATGTTTCCTTATCTAGCTTTAAAGGGCCTAAAATAAAAGAATTAAGTTATTTAGGCTAAAAATAAAGCTGCTATAATAGATTACTTTATAAATCTCTATAGAGACGCGTCTTTATTATAGTGCACGAAAAGAGGGGGTGCACGAGAAGGTATTAGCTTACGTTACATTAAGATAAGGCTAGTAAACCCTAATTCTCCTACGTTTAGTAGATAGCGGGCCCCGGAGGAAAAGAAAACGTTCATTGCCTATCTAAGTATCTATTATAGACTAATAGCGCTATCCTTCTATATACCTTAGATCCTCCTAGTATTAGGACGTATCTTATTATCCTTATCCTAAATAAGAAATCTTTTAACTATAGGTTAATAAAATTAAGACTCTATTAATTACCCTCCGCCTTAAAGGTAATATATTTAAGTAATTAGTTTATACCGGTATAGCAATTGCCTATATTTATTACCATATAAATAGATATAAGTTTATAGTAATATAGTATGCAGGGTAATAAGCGTATTAACGGCAGCATGCCGAGTCCGGACTCACTCCGAGTGCCTCGGTATATCTAGACCTATAGTATAGATTACTTGCTAGATATATTTAAGACGAAATATAACGATTGTACTTTAGTTTCCCTTATCGGCCCCACCGGTTATTATATATATAACGCGGAGATAGGTAACTTAACCTGGGATTACTTAACCCCGGATTCCCCGTGCTGAGAAATCTAACCTGATACATCGACTTTCTTATCTACGTCGACGGCTAAAGGCACGAGAGTATAAAGGATATACTTTGCACGTAAGTGGCTGCCATTATCACTTTTATCTAACTTTTTCACCTTATTCTACCAACAAAGCTATGGCTCAAGAAAACCTCTCCCTCGTCCTCGCTGAGCGACCTACGGGCGATATCATCGCTGGTCGCACACTCACTCAGAAGAAGTCCACAATTCCCTCCGCAAACGACCTCAAGAACGGCCAGGTCCTTGTCGAGGTTCTCTACCTCTCTCTCGATCCCGCTATGCGCGGATGGATGAGTGGTACGTCGCTCACGTGACATACTGTTCGCGTTCCTTCTTAACTAACCCGAGGTCAAAGAGGTCCGCTCCTATATCCCGCCTGTTAAGATTGGTGAGACCATGCGCGGCTTCGCTGCTTGCCGCGTTATCGCGTCTAAGAGCACAAAGGCCAAGGAGGGCGACTTCGTCTCCGGCCACGCCGGATGGACCCAGTACGCCATCTTAGACGAGAAGCACTTGGACCCCGCGTCCAGCTATCCCGGCCTCCAGGACCCCATCGACATGCTGTCTGCTCTAGGACTCACGAGCCTGACAGCCTGGGTTGGCATGACTAAGATTGGTCTCCCTAAGGTTGGCGAAACGGTTGTCGTGTCTGGTGCTGCCGGGGCGACGGGCAGTGTTGCTGGTCAGATTGCCAAGATTGCTGGCGCAAGGGTCGTTGGTCTTTGTGGCAGTGACAATAAGTGCAAGTGGCTGGTTGATGAGCTGGGCTTTGACGTCGCCTTAAACTATAAGGCCGACGACTTTAAGAACAAGTTTAAGGAGGCGACTGAGTCATATATTGACGTTTACTTCGATAATGGTAGGCAACTACGGGACTCTTCTTTCTATAAGTGAGTCTATGGCTAACCATGACCAAGTTGGTGGCGAAATTCTCGATATGGCTATGAGCAGAGCCAAGGAACACGCTCGCTTCGTCGAGTGCGGCCAGATCAGCCAATATAACACCCAGACACCCAAGGGTCCGACCAACATCACCAAGGTCGTCACCATGAGAATCCGCATGGAGGGCTTCATCGTGTTCGACCACGTCCAGGACTATCCTCGAGCGCGCAAGGAGCTCGCTCAGTGGATGGCAGAGGGCAGGCTCAAGAAGACAGAGCACGTCCTTACCGGGGGCTTAGAGGTTGCCGAACAGGGTCTTATTGATTTATATAAGGGCGTAAACCAGGGAAAGCTTATTGTCGAGGTCAAGCCTAAGCAACTAGCTCACGGAGGATGAGCTAAGTAGGCATAATAATTAGGGACTAAAGAACTCTTAGTTTTCTATCTAATAAGCAGGAATAATTCATCCTTAAATATACAGCTATATTAAAAGGAAATAAGAGATTCTATATATATAACGGTTATAGAGAGTTGTCAGAGGGAGCAGACTGACGGTCTAATCCGCACACGTATAAACTCCGGTGAAAGAGGCAGGTCAGACACAAGGACTTGAGTCAGGTATCGATACAGTAGAGGAACATTGCCCTAATCGGGATACACGGGAATTGGCACTGATTCAGGGCCACCACGGGTCCCAGATTGGTATCTATTCGTATAAATACCCCTCAATGTCGCACAGATAGATAAAAACATGCATCATCGTTTGGACTCAATTGTGCCTGCCTTATCCTTCCGCCCGCGCTCTCAGCTTAAAATTCAGTGGCAACACCCACAACTACGCAGAGTCAACGTGACGCGTGCATCCCTCGCAGGAGGTAAAACACACGATGACACTAGGCCCCAATATCAGAAGGGGAGGTGTACATCACCACACTCAAGGAAAGCCTTGACTGGACCCCATGGATTAGGGTATCAAATCATGGGCTCAAACGCACCACATCTGGGAGTACGTTAACCCAGAAGGGACCGTGGTGCTCGAGGAGCCCTGAGGCCTAGCTGGGAAGAGCTACTCGAGAAGGTAGGGCAGAGGCCCCCGAGGAAGCTTTCCCAACGAAGAAAATAAGTATAAGGCAGCAAGGAAGACTTCAATGAGAAGCTTCAAGATGCCAAGGACCTCTTTAGGTACAAAGAGAAGACCTTCCAGGATCAATTGGACCGCTTCAAGGCTAGAGAAAAGCCATGATGCAGATCGAGGAGGTGATCAAGAAGTCCATCAGTGAGGGGCTCCAGGGCGAGACCCTGATACAGCTGACGCCCGGGACAAGATCAAAGAACTCAAACAGAAGGTTCTCCCCTCAGCGGAGGAAGAAAAGAACCTTATCGATGAAAGGTATCATCAAATCATCAACAAGAAAGGAACCGGGACTGGAAGGCCTGGGCAGAGCAGCTGGACCAAGTCATCCTGATTCAAGAGACCTAGCGGTCTCGACTATTAATGACACAAAGATTCGTCAGGACTTCCTCAAAGGGACCGAAGAATGGGACCCTAGCTGGCCCATGACGATTAGGCTGCTGGACGCACTCCTGGAGAGAACAGGACTCCCAGCAACCCCTTTGCGCACCCTGATTGCCGACTTTAAAAGGGAGGTTGGATTCAGGAAGAAAGGAAACCTCAGAAGACCCCAGGGTCAACAACGCAAACAACGCTCCAAGATCATCTGATCAGAGGACTAGGAATGGCCCAGAGGGGTCACACAAGTGCCCGGCATGTAAGCAACACTGGGTCAAAAGGATGAGTGGTGGGAAAGCTGCTGGACCTTTAGAGCGATGTTCCAGAAAGACCCCGAAGGATGGATTCCCAGGGACCACCTTAAGGAGGCCATCAACCAGCACCTTAAGGAGAACCCCTTGGACAAGACCAAAGCCATGGAGTGGAAGCCAAAAGCCAAAGACATCACAGTCCGCAGAATAACAACAACTCGAGCAAACAGGCTAATACAGTGTCGCACGTGCATAGCACTAATACGAGTGAAGACTCTCTCGAGGACAAGGCCATCTATGATTCAGGGGCTAGCGTACATGTCTTTAACGACCTACGATGGTTCGATGAGGATACCTTCACCTGGGGATCGTCAGAAGAAGTCCGGGCAGGAAAACTCCTCCAAGTCAAGGGGTAGGCATGGCCGTTATCCCAGTGAAAAACGGGATCAATTTGAAGCTTGAGAGCAGCTACTACATCCCAGAGATGCCAACAAGTGTGTTCTCAGCTCGTCAGGGATTGTTGCGAAGATCTATGGAACCAGGTTAACGGCACACTCTACCATGAGCCCACAGGGCGCACTCTGGTCAGTCTGCAAGAAATTGAAGACCAATACGTTATTGCAAGCCTCTCAAAGCGGCCCCAACACAGCGTCTTTGTCACAAGCAGGGCTCCTAAGCCACCAATGGGTGGGCAAGCAGACCTTTGGCACAGACGGCTAGGACATCCGGGGCCAGAACCCTTAGCCACCTAACCAAGATGGGGACCGGCCACGTGTGAATGCGAGGTCTGCGCAACAGGCAAGGCAAAGAGGCAGGTCTCCGTGAGGAGCCCACTTTACGACCCAGAGGGCCGGAGCTCAATTTAGCTTCGACTTACACCCAGGCCCGGTGGCCGGATTCGGGGGTGAAAAGTACTTTGCGCTCTTCACATGCATAACGACCAGGATGAGGTTTTATTACGCGTTGAAGAGCAAAACCGAGGTCCGAGATGCCTTCAAGAAGCTAACATCAATGCTAGAAACTCAGTACGGGATAAAACTGATCAACCTGGCTTCTGACGGAGAAAAAGCCCTTCTAACAAAGGAGCTAGTCAAATTCATCGAAGGATTGGGCATTCGGGTCTTCCAGTCAGCTCCATCCACGCCCACGCAGAATGGGCATGCAGAAAGGTCCGGGGCCGTGGTCAAAGAAAGGGCCCGGCTTATGAACCTGGACTCCCGCATCCCGGAGGAGCTCTGGACCGAGACCTACCGCACAGCAGTGTATTTGCTCAACCGTACGCCACTTAAAGGATCTGATCATAGCTGGAGAAGCCCACACGAACGATGGTGGACCCATATGAGGGACCACAACCCTCTATACGGCCACATCAAGCGAGTCCAGCCGAGCATAAATCACCTGCGTGTCTTCGGCTGTGTGGCCTACCCAATGACAATCACTGCGTTGGAGCATGTAAAGTCACATAAGACGCAGTCCCCGCTTGAGCAGAGAGCTCATATCGGTTACCTGGTGGGCTACAGATCGACCCATCAATATGTCGTGTGGATACCCTCGATCCGCCAGACCAAACTGATGGTCTCGGCGAATGTACAATTTGATGAGTCAACAATGTACGATCCGAAGAGGAAGAAGACGCGGAAGCCTTCCAGGTCTATACATACGATGTTCTTCGTCAAATGGTGGCGATAGACGTCCCTGACGACGAAGACATAGAGGAAGCAGGAGTGCGCAATTACTCCGATGATGAGACAGATGACGGAATGACGCCGTACACCTCGGAGTCAATTGCGGCACCCTCTGCAGACGAGGCGACACAAGAAGCACCGAATTTGAAGACTTCGATGAGGGCTACAACGGACAGTGCCTATATTTCGCCTCCAAGCACTTCAAACAGTAGGGTGGAGGAAGAAACCTCGCCCTCCCCACCAAGCTCTGTCACCACTAGCGTGACCCAGCAGGAGGTCACACACCACGGAGTCAGGACCCGGAGGTGGAAAACTCAAGCATTATCTCGAGCCCTACGCGGACCGACCCGGAGCCTCAGGTATCATTAGGCACGCCGATCCTAGACGTATTGAATGAGCGATTGAATGAGCCGCCTGTCGATCCGGGGGGTGGTGCGCTCGAAGAGCCACAATGGTCAGAATTCGAGGAGCTGTCTCTGGGGGTCGGGGAGAGCCCGACCCCAGAGTCACAATCACAACCCGAAAAACGACCCCGCAAGGCGAGGACAAGTCTCAGGATAAACCCGCCAATGTGCTTGAGGGCAAGAGACAGAGGAAGCCGAAGAAGGCCTTCATCAATAACATCATTGCTAATGCCTCGAAGCACAGGCTTCACGTTGAGGATATGCCTCCTGTGCCAACCTCCTTTAAAGCCGCGATGGCTTCGGAATACGCCTCCCAATGGATAATGGGGATGGGGCGTGAAATTGAGGACCAGATGAAGCTCGAAACGTGGACCAAGGTGGCCAGAAAGATGGTTGAAGAAGCCGGCCACTTCATAATCCCGTTGCGATGGGTATATGCATATAAACTGGATGAGCAGGGCTACGTCACTCGCTTTAAAGCCCGACTTGTGGTCCGTGGAGACCAGCAGCCGGAAGACAACGAGGACACATACGCGGCCACACTACGAGCAAGAACCTTCAGAGTGTTAATGGCCCTCTGCTGTCTTGAAGACCTTGAAACAGAACAGTACGATGTGAAAACAGCGTTTCTGTATAATAAGCTCAAGCATGCCATCTATTGTCAGATGCCACCAGGCTACCTTGAGCCTGGGCTATGCTTGAAGCTTCTCAAGGACTATACGGGCTTCGAATCGCTCCAAGGCTGTGGTTTGAGGAGCTCGGCTTCTTCAAGAAGCTGGGCGCTCAACAACTCGTCGAAGATGCCTGCGTGATGACTTATAAAGGAGTCATCATCTTCTTCTTTGTGGATGACATCGTGATGATGTATCCAAAAGAAAAGAAGGCCGAATGGGAAGAACTTCACGCTGCCATTATGAAGGAATATACCATCAACCACATGGGGAACTTCGCTGGTTCCTAGGGATTGAAGTCATCAGGATAGGGCCCAGAAGAAGCTTTGGCTCGCTCAAGCCTCGTATCTCTCGAAGATGGCCAAGAAATTCCACATTGAGGACGATGATCAGATCCTTGGCGTGCCCCAGATCCCGATAACGACCGAAGAGCTCAAGCCATACGAGAAGACGGCTACTAGGGACGAGGTTCATCAATATCTCTCTCTAATTGGCTCAATTCTTCACCCAGCGATTCACACCAGACCCGACGGTGCGTTCCCGGTTGGAAAACTGGCACAATTCAGCCATAACCCGGGCCCGAAGCATAGGAGAGAGGCCAGGAGATGCCTGGCATACCTCTATCACACGAGAGATCGCTGCATCTGCTTCTCAGTCAAAGAAGCTGAACGCAGGTTCCTCTGCGCTTCTGATTCATCCTTTGCAGACAACCCGGAGACTCGAAAATCCTCACAGGATATGTCTTCTTGTTTCTAGGCGGACCCGTTGACTGGAAGGCTACGAAACAAGCGACTGTGACGACGTCGTCCACAGAGGCCGAATTGCTGGCCCTGTCAAGCGCGGCGAAGGAGCAAATGCAATTTTCCCGGCTAATTAAAGAGCTTGACATCAAGGTAGAAGGCACCAATGAGCTATGGTGCGATAACCTGCAGACCATCAGGCTCCTGACTGAACTAAGCGCAAAGCTCAAGACGAACCTTAAGCACATCGATATCCATCGTCACTGGCTTCGACAGGAGGTTCAGGAAGAAAGACTCCAGATCACATGGATCAAGTCTACGGAGAATCCCGCTGATGGAATGACAAAGGCCTTCCCCAGCAAAAGCACGAAGCTTTTGTCAAGCAGCTAGGGATGCAAGGGAGACCGGTGGCACCAATTGAAGCCGATGCGCCGGAGGACAGTTTCGACAGTATCACCACCCAGAGAGAGATATAGATGCTCTCCGAGCATCACCCAGGCACGGGATGGACCCATCATTTTGCTGGTATTGACTTGTTAAAATGCTCCTGGTCACAACACCAAGGAAGACATCATGAAGAGCATCTCCCTCAACGGTAGTAGCCTCACTCGCTGGATATTTGATAAGATTGGATGATTCGTCTGTCTCTTTTGCTTGTTTGCCTCACTCACCCAGTGAGACCGAGGCAAAGGGGTGTGTCAGAGGAGCAGACTGACGGTCTAATCCGCACACGTATAAACTCCGGTGAAAGAGGCAGGTCAGACACAAGGACTTGAGTCAGGTATCGATACAGTAGAGGAACATTGCCTAATCGGGATACACGGGAATTGGCACTGATTCAGGGCCACCACGGGTCCCAGATTGGTATCTATTCGTATAAATACCCCCTCAATGTCGCACAGATAGATAAAAAACATGCATCATCGTTTGGACTCAATTGTGCCTGCCCTTATCCTTCCGCCCGCGCTCTCAGCTTGCTGAGAAGAGTCTATTAGACATAACCACTGCCTAAGTTAAGGGGACAAAGGTCCTAGTTATATATATAAGAACGGCGCCTATATAGGTCGGGATACCTCCTTAACTAGGGCGGAATGTCGTTTAATACTCCTACTTGTCCTAGTCTAAGGGGCATTACTTCCGACCTCTTAGTTATACTCTAACGGTAGCTAGCTAGGATGCCTCCCCTACGGACGCTAAGTAGTAAGGCTAGTTGCGTACTCCTCCTACTCGTTTTAATCTATAGGGCCTATCCCTAGCCCTTTACCTTAGTATTCTATAGACCTAGTTAAGACGCCTCCCTTAAAGGCTACTAAGTAGTAAGGTCCGTTACGTACTCCCCTAACTAGTTATAAGTCTATAGGGCCTATCCCTAACCTAGTACTATTATTTATAGGTGCTAGGATACCTCCCCTTATAGCTATTATAGAAAAGAGCTATTAGGTACTCCTTTTACTAGATCTATATTTATAGAGCTACCTTTCCTAGCCTACTTTATAACTTTCCCTATATTCTAAGTAGTAATCCTATACTATACTCCTACTTATATAAGACCTAGTATACTTCTAAATACCTTAAACCTATTCTTTAGTAGTACTTTTATAAGGCCGTCTATAACTTATTAGTTTATTAAGATATATTAAAGGTCGACCTCGCTTCTATACTACTTCTCTTAGATAAAATACTATTAAATATTAATATACTTTATTCTTTTATAAAACTAAGGATTTCTTATTAGTATAACTACTCCTTAGTTATCCTTATAATTAATTATAGCTACTAGTATATATCCCTCCTTTTTTACTACTTATAGCTTTATTAAGACCCTTTTATAGCTAGATAGCTTCTTTTATTACCTAGGTTTATCTAATATATTCTACTTTATAAGATAAGAGGGCTATTAAGGACTACTATTTTAATAACTAGCTAAGAGTACTACTCTTAAAGTTAAAAATATAACTTAAAGTCGACCTTTATATATCGCGGTCTCTAGTTTAGTCTAAGTTATTAAACTTAGTTAGTAGCTTAATTTCCTTTTTATATACTAAGTATAGGTCGATTATAGCTTTTATGTTAGCAGGTCTCTTTGCATGCAAAGGGTGGGGTTAACCGGTGTGTTATATTCGTCTATCTTCTGCTCTTTAAGGGAGGGAGGAGGCCACGATGCTAGCTATGTGGCCTCATCCGTACACGTGACAGCGCAAGTGAGCTAGCTAGATGAGTACAATAGATTACTATAATTCCCACACTGGCAACTTTTCTTTTGCTATAAGAAGCATAGCAATGATCCATCTAGGTTCAAACGAGAAGAAAGACCTAGTTATATAGGTCATAATAACTATGCCGTTATAGCTATTTAAAGTCCGGTTGTGTGGACTACCCATAATAGGGATCCTAGGGAACGGACGAAAGAAAGACGGGCTAATTAACTGCAATAACCATTTAATCATTGGCGTCATAAGTAATTAAGGGCGTTAGACGTATCCTTCTATTCGAATTATCAGACTATTAGTATCGATAAGGCGTTCTAGGGCTCGGTTCGGTGATGCCTTTATTATAGCATTAGCTAGATTGTCTGCACCGTTGATCTAACGAATCTCTGCGATCTCTCGTTGCTCGTACGACTAACGAAGGGCCATAATATCGATTATTAATCGCTTCTCCTTCGTTGTGCCTAGTTTAATAAGACATTCGTAGAGAGAGTACGAGTCCGTATAGACGATTAGAGGGATAGAAGGAAGTCCGAGACGGTCAGTGATTATCTTTAAAGTCGTTAATACCGATATACTAATGTCGAATCTATTAACTATTCTATAGATTTCTAAGGCTAAAACGCTTTAAGTTATCCTTTTATATTTAGTTAAACTCTAGTAGATAATATTGCCGTTAATCCTAAACTCTTTCTCTTTATAGTTAGTCTCGTTAGTAAGGACAATAACGTAACCGAGTTATAAGGATAGGTCCTTATTATTTGCAAACGATCCGTCTATAAAAGATCAAAAGCTTTACGGTGGCGAGATTAATAGGTTTATAAATAAGGCCTCGTTCTTAGTGATCTATTTACCATTGCAAGCGCTTATTTATGTGAAAGGCTGGCCCGGAGTTTATTCAACAAGCAGGTGCCTAGGTGTTGTCTATCTAGAGCTAAGGAGGAAAAGAAGCTGAACTCGAGGCGTAGCCTCGAGTGCGAGCTTATATTGCCCTTCTCGGAATGTTCTCGCAGCTTCTGGGTCCGCGGAGCGGGGCCGGTGTTGCCACCGGAGCACGACCCACCGGACCCGGTACAACCGGGTCCACCAGCCGGGCACAGCCCGTGACATTTTAAAGCTTTACAGTCGTTGTTATTAGGGGTCTAGACTTATGCTGCGATAGAAACGTTAAAGGAGGCTTCGGGTTAATAGATTAAGGCAATATACGATCCGCGCGCTCGTTGCTCGACGTAGCGTTGGCTATAATCAAATGCTCTAGGGTCAATAGTGGCGATTTTAGAGGCTTGTCCTTTCTGCTAAAGCGATAGGGATCCTATATCTAGTAGGGTAAGTTTTGCACTATTGAAGTCAACCGTTATTCCTAGGGTCATCGAAGTCTTTGGTTTAGCTCGAAATTGTGCTTCCTTAAGCTTTTCTTCTTCACGGGCGGAAAAGCTGTCTGTTCTAAGCATAAGGGTATTATCTATCTGCATTCTAACAATGCCCAACGTATTAGGGCCGGTGTTTGTGATCAAAAGGCAGGAATCATAGGTTAAAGTAGACATATTAAGGTTCTTAAGGTGATGTTGTTGATATGTACGATACCAATAGACTCCAGCTTCTGCAATTCCGTATAGGGGCTTAATAACACGAATGATCGTTCTATTTGGGTATTTGTCTTGCAATTCGGTGGGCAAATAGGTCAGAATTGTCCGGAATAGCTCGGTTTAGGATTGTGGGTATGCTTGAGTGATGTCGCGAAGGGAAAGGGTCATGCCGTTGCCTTGAAGAAGTCCGGGGGCAATAGCTAAAATAAGTCTTTGACTAACGCGTTGAATTGTCGGGGATTGCGTTAGTAGGGTGGTCTTCTCAAAGTCGCTATGTCCTTAAACAATAAGTCGTGATTTCTTATACGGTTTAGTGTCTTTGCCTTTGACTTCACGAACTATTCGGGAGCGAAAGATGTAATGATTACCGTGAATTATTCGACCGTATCTTTTAAAGCTAAATACACCTCGTCCTACGAGGTCAGTGATCTCGATGTTATCGGATTCTTTAAATGGGGCGCCGGGAGCAGTGATGATGTCTCGCAGGGATAAAAAATGGAAGGTAAGAGTCAATCTATTCATTGTCGTCTATCTAAAATGAATATGAGAAGTTCTGTCTCCTTATAGTCCTGAGGGAATATGACTGCCTTGTGGTGGCGAATTTGCCACTTGCCACCCAGGGTGCTTTTGTAATGTTATCTAGAACGTTCGATGACATCGCTTATCAACCGCGTATTTCATTATACGCATCCTGAATGCGACATGATGCCTTCATTCCTGAGTTTGATGGATAAAGCGTATGCATCTTCTTCCTTCTAAGTTAGGAAACTTTAGCCTGGAGGAGCGGTCATCATAATCAAATCCTTTGGCTTGTTCTTAGATCCGGGTGGGCGTCCTCTCTTGCGGGGTGCCGGGGGGTCAGGTCGGGCAGGGGTTTCTTCTTCGTCCTAGGCAGGGGCAGGAACTTGAGGGATTGTGGAGTCATCACGCAGGTACGGCTGTACGTGCGTGGAACGAAAGACTTAGGGGCCATTGACTGTATCAATCGTAACGTTATGTCCGTCAATCGAAGCAATCTTGAAAGGTCCTTGCCAGCCGTCTTTTTCTCTCTAAACACGAACTTCACTTTGCAGTGGGAGGGATAAAACGTCGGCGGTAGACGGTCCGTTGCGCGTGCGAAGGGCATCTTTAACTTATCTTTCCGCTAAGAGTTAGCGGAGCGTCTTCATCGCTTTCTGCATCGCGGCCGACCTTTTTAGGGTAGAAGTAGAAGGGGGCGATTCCACAGTTAAACGAGGGTAGGCGCCAAAGACAAGCAAAGTTAGAACAATCCCGTCAGGTCTAGCTATGTCGTTAATAGCTTTTACAACCATTTGGAGCACTGCTTCGGCGGAGGTGACGTTACTTAGTTCCGCGTTTAGGATGTCATACGCGCGTCGGAGGGGGGCGTGATATCTTTCAATTTTTCCGATAGACCAATTGTGAAAGGCCTCTAGTGAGTTGATACAACTAACTAGTCCCTATGCTGTTTACTATCAAGATACAGAAGAAAGGAAGAAAGAAAGAAAATCTACTACAAAAGAGCATAACGGCTTTTTATAGCTTCGAGCCAATGGAAGGTTCTAGAAGCTAGGCGGCGCAGCCGCCGTTAAAGCGGCTTGCCCGTTACATTACCTCCCTCCCTTCCAACGTTTCCTCTTCCGTGGGATCGTGGCAATCTATGTGAAGAAGACTTAAGAAGGTGACACTCTTTTGATGTTTCTTCCATTGCTTCTATGCATCAGTGTGTCGAATAGTGGCGAGGGGCTCCCACGTAGGCTGCGAGTAATCATGCCATTTTACGAGCACCTTCTTATGCGTACCTTCCATTCTTTCATCCAGAATTCTTTCGACAAGGTACATCTCTTGGCCGTCCACCAGCACCGGCGGGGCACTCTCTTAATTGATTTTCTGCGAAGGCAATGGGTCTCCAGGGACTAGCCGGAGTAGATCGACGTGAAAGACTGGATAGATGCGTCTAGGCATATCCAACCTATAGGCATGTGGGCTGACTTCCGCGAGCACTTGATATTTGGCATATAACCAATCGAGCTTCTTGCAGGGTCGCGATGTTTTAACATTTCTTAAGTTAAGGTATACCTAATCCCTAGGCTTGTATCTCGGTGCGGCTGTCCTATGCTTGTTGGCTTGCGCTTGCTGTATTTCCTGGGCCATAGCTATCGCTGCTTGCGCAAACTCCGTGGCGTCCTATAGTCTCTGAATGAAATCCTCCGCTGTAGCTTCTCCCTGTGTCGTGTCTTCCGTTCTTCGATGCTCAACTAACTAGATTGGCTCATTATGGTAGCTATATATAAAGAAGAACGGACTCAGTCCGGTAGAGGTTGCTTCCCGCTCGTTAATAGTCGCTATCGCGATTAGAAGCAAGTCTAACTAGTTCTCTTGCAGATAGTTTGTCTATATCCGAAGAATCCTCTCTACCTCTTGGTTCATTCGTTCTGTTGCACCGTCGGTTTGTGGATAGTACGCTATCGATAACCGTTGCTCGATCCCTAGCAGCTAATAGAAATGTTTCCACATACCACTGACGAACTAGGGACCCCGATTACTAGTTATAGCCGTTAGGATGCTATGGACAGGGTAATGTCGTTCGAATAGTCTTCTTGCAACCGCTTCTGAAGAAATATCGTATAATCCTTCGAGTTCGACGCCTTTAGTGAGTCGGTCCGTGACCACCATGCAGTTCGTCGCGCCATCCTTCCCCGACGGTGGGAGGTTAGTGATAAAGTTAATAGTAATTTCGCTCTATATACGTTGCGGAATAGGGAGCGGCTTTAGGAGTCCTTTTTTTATATCCCTCTAGATGGTGTTTCGTCCGCAAACCTCGCAGTTGCGCATAAACCGACGTATATCGCTAGCGGCACCCGGCCAGAAGAAGCGTCTCGATAGAGTCGAGTACGTAAGGTCCCTTCTAGGATATCCGGTAATATAAGAGTCGTGAGTTTCCTAGATAATCCTCGTACGTAGCGGCTCCGAACCGGGTATCTAGACGCGTTCTCTAAAGCATAGTAGGCCTCTATTGTCTAATAAGCACTCTGAAATGCTAACAACCTTCTCCTTCTATAATTCTATTAGCAAACTCTTCGCTCTATCTGCTACTAGCTTCGCGAGTTCTTAATAGAGCTTATCTTCTTAGCGTGCGGCGTGCCACAGCTGCTGTAGTTCCTTATCTTTAAATATCCTAATCTCTTTTCCGAAGTTGATTTCCTAGGCACCCTCGGTGTTGGTAGACAATGTCGATATTGGGACCCTTCTAAGGTGATCATCTTGGAATAGCCTTATAATGCGTCCCTTTAGTCGTTTATCAGAGTGGTTGGCCGGCATATCCTGGTCCCGTCGAGAGAGTGCGTTAGGCAATCCGCCCTTGCGGCCCGGCCTCTATTCGAGCTCGAATTAGAACCTAGACAGGAACTCCGACCACCGCACTTATCTCTCTGTTAACCTCCTTTCCGAGTAGAAGTATCTTAGGTTCTTGTGGTCTGTTAGGATCTTGAAGTGCTCTACTGCCCGTAGCTCTGGTTCCTACTGCTCTAAACATCTGAGAATGGCGAGTAGCTCCTTGTTATAGATAGCGTAGTTCGCTTCGGCTGCCGAATGTTTCTTCGAGAAGTATGCGACAGGTCGTACCAGTCTATCCTTATTATCTCTCTGTAAGAGCACGCCTCCCGACGCGAATCCTGAAGCGTCTGCTTCTAAGATAGTCTCCCTTTCTGGATAGAAGTGTGTAAGGATCGGGGCCGTGATCAATAGGTCCTTGAGCTTCTCGAAGGCTTCTTCGCACAATCTATCCCAACGGAATGGCACGTCCTTCTTCGTTAGCCGCGTTAGCGGCTCCGCTATCACCGAGAAGTCTGGCATAAATATCCTATAGAAGTTCGCGAATCCGATAAAACTCCTTACGGATTTAACATTCGTTAGGGTTGCCTATCCCTTCACAGCCTTAACCTTCTCTGGGTCGACTCGGATCCCACACTCCGCCTCGATAATAAACCTAAGGTATTTCATAGCCTTAACTTCGAATTCGCTCTTGTTGATGTCTAGTTGCAGCCTAGCGTCTATCAGTCGTTGGAGGACCTTGCCGACTTTGTCGCGGTGGTCTTGCAGGCTTCTAGAGGAGAAGATCAGGACATCGTCGATATACGCTGACATAAAATCATCTAGGTAATCCTGGAGCACGCTGTTAATATACCGCTGAAAGGCTGCTGGTGCGCCTGTTAGGCCGAATAGAACTACCAGCCATTCGAAGGATCTATAGCGCGTTCTGAAAGCTGTCTTTTCTTCGTCGGCGGGGGCGACCCTGATCTTATAGAACGCTGCTATAACATCTACCTTAGTGAACTACCTTGCCTTGGCTATAGTTCGCAAGGTCTCGCTCAGTAAGGGCAAGGGATAGCGGTCCCTCTTCGTTATATGGTTTAAACCTCTATAATCTACGCAGAAGCGGATGCCTCCACCGGGCTTCTTCACCATAAGGACTGGTGCTGCGGCTGGCGAGCTGCTGACTCTAATAAATCCCTTGTCGAGTAGTTCTGTGAGGGTCTTTCGTAGCACTAATAGCTCCTCGCGGGACATGCTGTAAAGCGGTCCCCAGGGTAGGGGCTTCTCTCGGCCATGCTCGTCTTTTAGCACTTCGATCTTCAGGTCCACACCTGGCCGATGAGGGGGCAGCTGGTCGGCCAGTTGCTGAGAGAAAGCTCGAGACCACTTGTGGTACTGTGGTGGCAGCTTCTCCATTACGTCAGTCTTCGGTTTCGGTCTTAGGGCCTTGTCAATATCCGCTATCGTGACCGAGTGAACTCCAATGCCGCCTTTTCGTTTGTCACGGCGTGCCTCTGCTAAAAAGGTTGCGGCCATGATATTAGAGACGTCTAGCTGGGGAGGCTAGTAACGTCGTCGGTCTCGTACTTGAACTCTACTAGACCCGATCTCGAGATATCCTTCCTTTGCGTAGATGTGAACATCCTAGTCTTCTATCTATCGTTTACCTAGGATTATGTCCTAGTTAAGATCGTCGATAACGTATATAAAAACACGATGCTGCTGATGTCTATCGAGGTCGATCGACATATACGTGATCTTGTCGATTTTGACCTCCTTGCCGTCTCCCGCTATATTCTCTAAGATGCGCGGCTGAACGCGTATATGTAGCAACTAGAGAGAGTGAAATATGCGCTTACTAACCGCGCCGTAGCAGAGGCAGCTATAATCGACGAGAGATGGCATAAAGTCTGTGCCGTTTACCCTAACGTCTGCTATGAACGGTTCCCCGTCTATTTTTGCTTTTCCGCTCACATCCCATTCTCTTACAGCCGCCGCGTGTCCCTAGTCTAAATCTTTATCGCTATGAGACGAAGCTTCGTCTTCGGCGATCTCGGCATTAGTGACCGCTGGTCGTGTCGGAGCCACGGCATTGACCTGAGTGCGACGGGTCGCGTTTGCGGGTCGGATAGGCGCAGCCAATGGGCAGCGCTCGATCCTGCAGTTGTCTCTTCCACAACGAAGGCAACGCCCTTTACGGTAACGGGCGTCTATCTCGGTCTGATCGACCTACTTTGCACGCTTGCCTAATAGCGCTTGGTCTTCTGGTCGGTTGGATTGGTGACTATATGTGTTCTTATCACCGCGGGTACGCGCAGCGTTTACTTTCGCGGATGCTTATAGAGTTGGCTCCCATTCCATTATATCCTCTCGTCTAACTTTAGTTTTCTGGCCGGACTCTTTCTAGGCGGCCTGGCCTCTATGGTTCTGGTGGTTGTTATAGTTGTCCGAACTCTTTATGTTGCCTCGGGGCCTTTTCCACTGACCCAATAGTTCTATCTGGCTGCTTAGCGAATCGCATCTCCTCGCCAGCCCAACGTAGCTGCTGATGGCAGAGGGGTCAGAGCCTATAAGGGCTGCTTTTATTTTATCGTTTAGTGCCTCCTAGAGGTAGGAAATCTTGCTGTCGTCTGGCTAATACTCGGCGTTGGCATTGGCGATCTCCCTCTTAAAGCGGGGGTAAAAGGACGTAAATGGTTCATTCTCCCCTTGCTTAATCGAATGTAAGTTGCGTGTAGCTCTCTGCTTGCGATCCCTCTCCCCGTATAATAACTCGAGGCGGTTGAGTAGTTTAGCAACATTGAACGTTTTCTTCTCGGTTTGCATCTCTATAAATGTGGTCACGTTATCTTTAGCCTTGCCTTCTAGGCTCATAAAGATGTATATAAAGTGGCCCTCTGCATCTCTAAGGGCTTCTTTATCGACTCGTAGTTTTCCTTCGGTTTCTAGTTTCTAGCTTCGCCACTAGGCCTTATCGCCGCCGAATTTCGGGATATCTCGTAATTTAGGGCGCTTGGTTGGATGAGGGCTGTGAGTGGCGACTACATGGATGTCCTCGATGGGGACAGCCGGGGTGACAGATGGCGTCGGCTCTGGGAGTTCAGACGAACGGGATTGCTGGTGTTGCTGGAGTTCCAGGGCAATAAACCGTTCTTCAAACTGGGTATTTCTTCGGGAATTCTCTTCTCTCAAACTTCGTATCTCGGCAACTAGGGCGCTGAGGACGTCCGGCTGCATGTTGTTATCTTCGGCCATCGCGACTTCGCTGAACGTTAATAGTTCCGACGGGACTCAGTTACTTTGGTGTCTTCAGTGTCTTTAGTGTCTTTAGTGATCTTGATAGTATGTGAAAGGCCTCTAGTGAGTTGATATAACTAACTAGTCCCTATGCTGTTTACTATTAAGATATAGAAGAAAGGAAGAAAGAAAGAAAATCTACTACATAAGAGCATAACGGCATTTTATAGCTTCGAGCCAATGGAAGGTTCTAGAAGCTAGGCGGCGCAGCCGCCGTTAAAGCGGCTTGCCCGTTACACCAATGCGTCTCAACAGGCACTTAAGAGCATTTAATCCCCATAAGTTTTACTTCTTAGCGGAACTCCATTGAAGCAAAGTTGGTCCCTGCGTCGTGTCGAATGGTGTCAGGGGGTCCAAGGTATGTGTCGATCCAGACGGTCCGAAGGGTCTCCCATGTATCCTTAGCTAACATTGAGGGTAGGAATCTTGCTCCCTGGAAAGCAGTGGCTGCGTCCATAACGTGCAAAACAAGGCGTTGTAGGCTTCCTAGGTACATCACATTAACGATGATTTCGTAATTGAACTCTTGGTCATCCTTGAGGGTGAATTTGAAGCGTCTCGGGGCTTGCGAGTGCATTTGACAGTGATGGCAGAACTTAGAGATAGTCTCTAATGTGCCTATCGAAACGTCGCTGTGGCCGGCTTGCTTCAAAAGGTGATATAGCTTAGGGACTGCTGGGTGTCCAAATCGTCGGTGAAGTGTACGAATCTCAGTCTCTATAAGAAAAGCGATCGAGTCTTCAGCTTTCGAGAGAAAGAACCAGGGGTGTCCCCATTTTCGGGTGACAGGGATGCTTATTTGGCGATTAGTATAATGATTAGTACAATTGAGTGTGTCCGTAATGTTGTTAAAGTAAGGGAGTTATTAAAATGCCCCCGCATTTCAATAGAATGCCCCCAAGCCGTGGCTTAGACTGTGGCGGACGCCTTATTCCCCACCACGCCAAATTTTTGCTGTGTACTTTACTAACAGTGTCTCACGCGGTCTCAGCCAAGACAAATGCATCTTTGCATTACATTACAGCGCGGCTATGTTGCAACAACGATACAGTCATGCCCGTAGTCCAATTCCTCCTTGCGTAACGCAGCTATCGCGATCTTGGCATCATCAATGGACTGGTCTATCGCGCCTTCGACTTCTGGGTCAACGTAACCTTCGTAGGGCTGATATTTGAAGATTTTGAAGTCGAATCGGCCTCGGGACCCTTGAATTGAATGAAGCCGAATCGGGTGAGGTCTTCAAATTCGACGAAACAAAAATCAGGAGTCTTCATTCAATTCATTCATAAAAATTGTAAATAAATAGCGATATAGTCGAAACGTAAGGCGAAAAAAAATTATCACCCCGCTTCGCGGCCAAGGGGACATATAGGGAGGAAAGGGTCAATACCCGAAGCCACCCACCAAGGGCCTCTTCCCTATTCTTCCTCGGTAGGCTCATATATACATCAATAAACAAGCTACTTTGACCCTATCATTAAGGGGTTTGCCCCGCGCGGACACGGTAACTTCGAGTTCGGCCGCGCTTATGATGACGCTCTACGTATTTAAAAGTCTATTATATGTGTTTTAGTTAGATTCCACCGTCCACACTCTACTAGCAAAATCCTAGTCCCGCGCCGCCCGCGTCTAGCGGGGGCGTCGCTAGGGAAATCGAGGCGAAGGACGGCAGTTAGGGCGTCTATATATTATAGTATAACGACCCTAACAGTGCCTAATACGCCACCGTTTTAGCAATCTTGCCACCCTATACGGAGTATTAAAAAACACTATAAAGCTTATAAATAGTGCTATTTTATAATGTATATAATTTAAATATAGTGCCGCTCGAATGTTCTAGATTTTCTCGTTCGGATAATATAACCCTCGATAGTTATATATCGTTAACATTTGCTTAAGAAATGCCATATTATCTTAAAGGCAATTAATAGATAATACATTTTTTAGTTAGAATACTATATTTTAAGCATATATTAAGCTCGGCAACCTATATTCTAGATATAGAATATAATAATTATACCGCTATATAGCCCCTAGCAAGCTAATTCGAAAAACGTATTTAGATCCCTTAATATCTTAATACTACGCGAACAATTAGAAGTAACACGAATCGCATTAGCTCGCGATTTAGAGGCTATTAGGGACTTATCTACTCCTCGAGCCTAATATAACTGCTACTTGTTTATCTATATAAATTAGCCGATTAGGAAGTACCCGAAAAATCTACATAATAAGGATATATTATACCAACTAGCCGCGTTCAGACGCGTTATTTCCGCTCAGTTTAACCACCTGTTAATTCTACTGCTGTCGGAAAGACAGGGTCGTCAGCCCATCCACCTTTTGCCTGCGTGGCGCAACGGTCTTCGCGACAACTGCCACGACATTATTTTACCACGACCTCGCCTAATTCCTGCTTCGATATTCCGACAGCGGCTTCGGATCAGCCCCCGAATCAACGCTCTAACCGACGACCTATCCTACCCGTTCAACCCCGACTCCTTGACACTTTATTGTGGTTTATTTGGTGTCGTTCCGACTACCTATGTCGCGTCTATTCTCGAGCCTTTTAGCCAAGATCAGGTAAAACTTTATTACTCTCTAATCTACCCTCCTTATTTAATCACCTTACGAGTGGATAGCTAATTATAATATAATACGTAGTATGGCCCCTGCTAAAACAAAAACATCTGCCGTAGCGAATTTCTTTGCTCTAAGGACCCGGCGTAAATTGCCAACGCAGAATTATGCCCGCATCGAACGTCCTCAATTTAACCCTCGGAATCCCCCGCGCGCGCGCGCTAATTCTAGCGCAACTCCGGCTCCTTCCTCTCCTCTTCCAACTAGCGAAGATATAATTGTCTGCGCGCCCCCGGGTCATCCTAACTGTGAGTCAGATGATGACATGCCCGACGCGGATACACTAGAGCCGCCATTGAATAGTAGTCATATGACGCTCGCAGAGAAAGCCGGACTTATCAAGAAGTGGGCCGACAATAAACAAAAGCATGTTCGCAAGAAGAGAGACAAGAACAGCCACGTCTATTAGTATATGCAGAGGGAAGCTATAGACAGAAGCTTTTACTTAGAGGATAAGGATAGGCCGAAGATCTTCCAAG